AAAAAAGTAAAATTTGTCGAGCCCAAATATTAATTTTAGCCCAATTAATTTTATTTACAACCTAAGTGTAAAACTGAAATGATTCACAATTAACCAAATATTTAAACCAAATTAACCAAATATTTTAAAAAAAAAATTGCTTTTGGGCTGGGGTAGGGCTGGGCTATAGCCCACCCCTCCCCTCCGCCCCTGCGGCAATACATAGTATATCAATATTTAATCAAAACTTATAAGTATTTGATTCAAAGTAAATAAGTTTTACCATAAATAAGTTTTAATCAAAGTTGAAAATATTATATTACTTATTCCAAAAGTAAAGCTTCTAGAATATCAAAATAAGTATTTTTTTAATAATAAATAAAAAATTCAAATATGTAAACATATTTTTAAAAAAATTGCTTAAAACTTACTGTCAAGTAACGTTTAAGAATCAACAAAAATTGCACTCCCAACATTTTTTAAAAAAAAGGCATATAAATGCATATACTTGTACCAGCTATATAGAAACCAAGGATGTTGAAGATGAGATTTGAGATCTGTTGTCCAAAATTGACTGTCTAATTTGCTGTCCACCAATAATTCATTGACACAAAATTTTACACCTATTTTAAGCACAAGTGATAGTGCGAGAAAAGTTGGACATGTTAATTTAAAGTAACGCGTCAATAATTCATTGGGTAGACAACAAGTAATGAAAATAATAGAATTACTAGAAAGCATTTACTAATGAATTAAATGATGATTATCACATGGACTTGAAATAAGTACAATTTTCATTGAATTAATAATGCATCATTTATTGATTTCTATGTCATTATTTTTATTAATCTAGAATTAGATGAAGTTGCCTAATTAAAATACAATTAAAATTTAATTATTAGACTGGAAAAAATTGAAGTATAGTAACCTAATTAAAAAAGTGTAAGTATAGCTATTTGTGCCTATCTTTCTGACATTCCATGTATATTACTTGGCATATATTTCATGAAATACGTGGTTAAAAATCAATTGTAAGTATTATTTTTTAAGTTTTCGCTTTTACCATTTAGTATATTAATTTTTTACTTTCTATGCATTTCTAGGTTGCCTAATATTTTCACCATTTAAAGTGTATTAATTTTAAGCTTTGTATGTGTATCTAGGCTTGCCTAACATCTACAAATGAATCAGGTTTCTTCGATTAATTGAGATCTAGTTTTTCCAATAGAGCCTATATTGACCAACCTTAGAGAAGTAATCAAGTATCTTTCAAGGAGAAGTATCGATCAATGGTAACTAATCGTATATCTTTCAAGGTGAAGTATCGATCTAAAATAATTGCATCCAATCTCTAGAGGTTCGCTAACTCGTTAAAAGATACACTTGGTACTTTTGTGAAACATGTACGTCTAGTAATTCATCGTGTGTTTGCATGGATTTACGTCCAATTTGATTTTTCGGAGTTTGCTCTAAAGGTTTCTGTTCGCGTCCAAGACCATCCGAGGCTATCAAGAGCTTTCAATAGTGTGGTTAAAACTGTTGACCTCAAGAAACTGAGAAAAACTATACTACTTCGAGTTAGATGTCGATTATTTCACAGCTCGTTCAACTTGAGGAAAACTATACTACTACACCCCAAAAAA